GTGTATGTAGTATCCCATAGTGCTACTCACACCAAGTGTTTCTAAGAAGCGACACTAGACTAGGCACATCATATTCAACAAGTCATAACCCATTTAGTTCATATAGGTAAACCACCACCACAACCCCTTTAAAAGTTATTTGTGCAGTGTACACATGGAGTTCCATTCCTTCACATATACTAACAAAATCCATTAAGAAGTCATAAAATGTCATTCATTTACATAATCGTAGTTCATATCTTGACATAAGCAAAGTAAATCTTAACACATATTCTTACTAATCATACATAACATAAGTCTTTCTTTAATAAGAGAATCTAATCATATCCGATATTAAAGTCCACTTGTGCAATGGGTAGGGAGGCATATCCATAGCCAACATCAATAATGTGATCTACATGGAATCCGATGTTCTACTCCCACACTGAAAAGAGAGGGTAATATAGAACAAGGTGAACATTCATACATAATAGCTATCTAGTGGATCCAGTATGCTAAGACCTATGGGGGCACATAGTTACAAATTAAGAAGATTGCTACAAGAGACCTTCTTAATAGATGTGGAGATTTCCATCTCATGAGAAAACATCTATGTTGGGAACCCAAACTTGCTACACGTAAAGGTTCTTTTGTGGGAAGCTGGACTTGCTAGACGCCAATCCCCTACTCACATTTTCCATGTTCACTCGGTGGTAAGCTCAAACTCTTTTTTAACCATCTTAAGCCTTTATTTTACATTAGTTCGTAAATTAAGATTTAGGAACTTAATTACCTCATATATCATATAGCTCCAAGGTAACTGAGATGAAAATGATGTTTCATCATATAACCTACCTTATGTGAGAATGTCCTTTCACATATCATATAATCTAGTATGGAGTACAATTGAGGAAACCCTTCAAGAGACTCACTTTCACTAGATTATCATAAACCTTATTCATTTATACATTCTTGTGTATGTATACATGTGTGAGAAAGTCTTTCACATAAACACCTTTAGACAACACATATTTGTAATTTACTTGTCATATAAATTTCATGCATATGAAGATGTAAAGGTGCATATGAGCATTATGCTTTCAATCAACACCCTAAATATATCATACTCATAGTGATGCATGGGTGTGTGTGTACATATTGGTCCTCATAATAACAAAATAGCAACCACATTGGTATTGAGGGAAACTTCCATTCAAAGGATCACAACACATTCAAAATATCCCTCAAGTCATGAAAAACCACATACAGAGCAGTTTAGGGATTCTAGAACACATACCACATTTTATCATACATGACGAGAGCACATTCCAGATGTAAATAGACAACTCTTAACATGCCTAACGTCACACATTCATATATATTCACATAGGGGTCATATAGGTATGGGTCATTATAAAATATAACTTAGCATAATCAACCAAGTAGACCGCAACTTATCCTTAACATTATCATTCACATTATACTCCTCAGGATCAACATTTTTTAAACATAATGATTGCATTGAGGATTTCCTTACATAACCTCCATATCACAAATTCATAACTATATGCATCATAATCAAAAATCACTTTACATTTTTTACCTTAAATGTCATAATCACGACATGCATACAAAGACAAGGAATAAACACCGCCCCCTTAAGTAGACCATACCACACAACATCGATTATCATACTATAGACTAGAGATTAGGTCACTTACCAATTCTCTAATCAATGATCAACATATATCAATACTAAAAAATTCAAAATTAATTGATATATATTGAAGCCAAATTTAAGAATACAATTCGATTCAAGGACAATTCATTAACATAAAATCATATGCACAAAGACCCACATTATAGGAAAATTTTGAGATATAGGAGGATCATGGGTTCTTTAATAAATTACATAGTAAATCATCATAAAAAAACCATAATTAAAAATTTATTCATCATTAGAATGACTTAATAAATCATTTGACAAGGACCCATGCTTAGATTGAAAATTGAGAATTTTTGTCTTTGAATCACTTTCGAAAATCTTAGATTGAACTACTTGAATGAAAGGTTATTAAAGAATCAACAGTAACCATACCGTATTGATTGGACACCAATAACATTAGATAATAAATCAGTTGAAAACCCATCTTCTAGATTGAGCTTCAGCTTGGCCTCCAATTGAGTTTTGGGAGAATCTATTTGGGAGGGAAGGGTTCTATTTTGAAGAATGAATTCCAATTTTGGGTTTCTATATTTTAACTCACTGAAAAACTCTAAAATAGTTATAATGACTGTCTATAATATATCCCCAAAGTACCTTAAACATCCGTACACTTATTTTGACTTTTAGAAATGTCCAACTTGACTTTTAAACAACGCGACCAAATCAAGGACATGGTTGTGCGTCGCTAAGTTCTTTCAAATTTTGATTCTTTAAATTTAATTCGAGGCAGAAGAATCCATGTAAATCTCACATCACAAAGATTTTTTTTGCCTTTAAGTGTTGGTGGCGCGCTGCGAAAGAAGCACCCAAAACATATTGCCCTGACAACTTTCTTTGCCAATGTTTGTCTCCTTTTCAAAGACCCTTAGGGTGTTTCCCGGGGAGTCGTACCTTAACATTTTGATCCTAAACATTTTTATTAAAACACTAGGGTTGCCTCCATTTATTTTAGAATCTAAACAACACGTAAAAACATTCACAACATACTAGAACACACCAACATGTAAAAACTAGTTTTCGGAAGTCTTGATTGTCCCTTGACGTTTGACTTCCAATCTCTTTAAAACTAACTTAAATGGTTTTATTTCATTAATTTACCAATTTCTTAACTCATTAAACTCATGTTAGTCTCTAACTCATCCTATTTCATTTTGAGGGTCATTACACATCCACGTCCTTATAGTTGGAATATTATCGTGTCATCCAGCTCGTTACATCTAAAATATTATTCATCAATCCAACTTGTTATAGTTGAAATATCATTGTGAATCCACCTCATTAAAGTTAGAACATTATAGATCCATCCACCTTGTTATAGTGAAATCATCAAGTCATCCACCTCGTTACAATTGGATAATCTAGATCGTTGCAGAGATCACAAGATTTTGCCATTACAAGATAAATCAATGAAATCTGCAAATCCTCAACAAGTCATGAGTCTTAATAGATATAACCATGTTCAAGAGCAGTATTCATTATCTTTTCTCTCATTACTTTTTAATTTTCTCATGTAGTTGAAAAAAGGTGGTTATGCTTATCCATTAAGATATACTCATTACTTATACGAATGATCTTTGTGTTTTTACTCAAGTGCTACATAATGCATCACTATGTCTACAAATTATTTACTTTGAGGGTTCAAACATATATTAAAATAGTTATAAGACATTTTTCAAATTAAGAGGGATTTGAAAACACCAATGGTGTATCCGTAGAAATGTGCAAGAACATAACAAGAAAGTGTTGTAAGATATGTTACCATTTTTTTCAATTACAGTGTCTACTAAAAACATTATTTTAGTCTTTGTCGAGAGCATCCAAGAGGATGAATTCTCAAATAAAACCACAGGTGTGGACGACATCAACAAGGATGCAGCATAACGTGGAACTTTTTCTTAGAAGCGAACTGGGACATAGTCCGAAGAGGAGTGCCAAAATTATAGGAAGCAAGATGAGGAGCGACTTCTACCACAATCAAATCACACCCCTATAAGAAGACATGGATTTTTTTGGGTTTACCCATTTCGGTTTCGCATTCAGAAAATTTTTGTTTGCACCGAACACAACTTTCCAAATCAAGCGAGCATATACTGAGGGCTTTGAAGATTATGTTCTTTCAAGCTCTTAATTATGGGTGTGAAGCATGCCAAATTCACGACTAAGAGGTTGAAAGCCTTTTTTCATACTTGACTAATTTGTCATTTTTTCAAAACTGGAGATTATTGAGCATAATATGTTTCCTTTCTAACCGATCGAGTTGAACTAAAAACAATATGATTTTTTAGTTGAAGGATATGTAGGAGGGCTCAATGTTAAAAATTCAGCTGTATTCCAACATTCTCTCCTAAATTTTATTCCAGACCATTTCGATCTCTTAGTAATTAAATATTGGGATAGCTTTTAAGTTCTTTTATAATTGTGTGTTACAGCAGGCATATCCAACTACAAGTGGTCTCCATTCTCATATAGATTGATATAGGTAGAAAACTCTATGTTGGGGATTGACCATAATTTCATGAAGTCAGTACGAAAATCCCCATCCTGAAGATGCAGATTATGGTCTGCCAAAATCCGTTCACCAATTTCATTTGCTTTGAATTTCTTTTATCAATCCAAGTAAAAGAAGGGATAGTTATGGACACCCAAGTTTGGACCTCCACAATGTAAATTAAGCATCAAGCTTCTTCAATTTTGAACAATTTGGAATATTTAGTAGTATCAAAAAATATATATCTTTTAAGTTACTTTTGATTAATTTTTTCATTTTTATTTTGTAAGTATTTTATATATTATATAATTTTGTGTCTAGTTAGTATAATTTATGAATATTTGAAAGTCGTCTCAAAAATTTTTTGTTAAGTATTTAGTTAATTAGTTTAGTTATGTAATATTTTATATTTTGAATTATTTAATTTATGATTAAGTTAATTATTTTTATTTCGTTCACATTAAAAATTTCATTAATTAATTTGTATTAATTTGTCTTATTTAGTTTTTAGCCAAGTCACCAAATCAACCCAATTTCGCTAAATTGGTAAGTCGAAATGGCTAAATTTGAAGTTTATATGGTCATTTTCTTAATAGCAATTCCAACTACTCCTTTCCATGCCTCCAACTTAATTTTGAGAGAACAAGTTTTGGGCCTTATTCTTTTCCAGCAGCTCATCCTTCTTATTCCAATCAACCGATTTCCCAACTCTTATTCCCTATTCAAGCCCACATTCCAATCCAAAACACCCAGAATACAATACAACAACGTGCAATAGCAACACACAAGACGACCCAAACGCGACTTCTTCCCCAGACGCAACTAGAAACCTGGAAATAAAAATCACCCAGACACAAGTTAAAAAAATCGTGAGAAATTGCATCCAGCAGCCTACACCACTCTCCTTCGTTCTTATCCATTTGTACGATAATTTTCTAGGTATTCCCATCTCCGTGCCTCAATCGTCGTTGTGAAGAAATAGACGGTCCTCCTCTCAAATCCGTTGAGAATCCTACAGATCAAGCTTTTTGAACCTTATCTTCTAAAGAAGGATTTGAATTTTAAATTCAAGTTTGCCCCCATCCCCTCTCATTTTTCCCCTTCACCAAACCCTAGACTCCTTCTATGCAAACTCTCCTCATTCACAGTATTAGGGGTTGGGGAAAAAAAAGAAATGAAAAGGATCTAGAAAAGTGATATTTATAGCAAATACTAATTTTAAAATAGTCATATATACTCAACAGAGGTTCTCTTTTCTTTGTTCATCATTTGCCTAAGCTCGTTGGAGTTTTGGGAGTCCTGAAGTGTTGTAGAAAAGTTCGCCTCCTACTCACTTTGGCTCAGTTCTCTATTCCAAACAAGGTAGCACTCCTACCTTACGCTCACACTTAATTTTTCGTTTTTTCTTTTCAAATCATGCGTGTTTCTTTGTCATTATTTGAAGCAGCTCGTTAGGTATTGTTACGGTTTTAATTTTGCAATATGTCATATTTTCTATTTTTAGGTGATTTTGTAGGCTATAAATGATATTAGACTCCGATGTTTTTATGAGTATGTTGCTACACGTATGATATCTGTTGATTTGTTGTTGTTGATGTTCTTGTCATTCTAAAATCAAAATTTCAACTAACTTCTCTACTGCCTAACATGACCCAATTTAGTGAGGTTTATGTCATCTTCTTCCTAATTGCTTTTCTACTGTCATAGAATTTAAGTTTTACTCTTAAGATTACTTGAAGCATGAATATGTTGTTCTTAATCTTTCATGTGTATGACGTGTTGACTTCTTCTGTTGTAAGGTCAATAAAGGTGGTTTAGTTATGTGTTATATGACTTAATATATTTGTCTATTTTAATAAGAATGTGAATCTCTGTCACAGTGAAATTCAATAATGTGCAAATGAGATTTTTACAGAACATGTGGGTTGATTGAATCATTTAAATTCTCATTAAAATTGTCTTCTTTTATTCTTGGGACCTGTCATTTATTTTTTTGTTGTAACTAGCTAATCTTCTTATTCATTTTCTTTAGATTAAAGTGTCAAGTGGTAATTACCTTTGATGCATTATTTATTTTGGGATTGGTTAAACTATGGCTTGGAGATATTATTATTTTTTCTAACTGTATTTCTCATTTTTATTGCATGTAAAATCTGCCAGAGTTCGCCATGAACTCTTCTCCTTGCATTTTCTTGTTGTTTCTCCCAATGCTTTCCTTTTCGAGTTGGCCTTAATCATTGATTGTTTGAGTTTCAGAAACTGAAGTAGCAAGATTGAAACTAGAATACAGGTCTTGACAGCTCAAAAATGGATTTTATAGGGATGATTTACAACAACAATATACAAGTGTATACCAAAATTGTATACAATTCTCAGAAACTTGAAAATAAGATTCAAGCCCACGATTTTTGTTACCAGAATGTCCAAGAATCTTTTAAAACTAAAAATGGATTGACACCCATTTTTTACTAGCAAGCTTTAATTTAGAAGATAGAAAACGGACCAAAGTGCGTTTGTAGGCCCAATTTCGGGATTAGTTATATTTTTCATCCTATACACTTATTTATTTATTATGTGTATTGATTATAATCCTTTTCTTTGACTTGATTTTTATTTAATTAAATTCCCAAAAGAAAGTTATGTTTCTTTTCTTATTCTTAATGTAAATAATAATTATATTTTTATTTATCACTTAGCTTTATTTTATTAGTTGTCTTGCAACACATGAATCTATCTTTCCTGAAAATTTCTTAGGCTTATTTCCTTCCAAAAAAATAAAAAATGGATTTTATTTATTTAGTTAATAATTTTAAAGTTAGGCAAATGTTTTTAGTTAAATCGCTTGTCAACCCCAAGTGACCGGAAATATCGATGGCCTTATACTGTTAAAACCCGAGAGAAACCGCTAGTCGTAACACAATGTACTAGACCTCGAACAGATCTTATACAATCCCTTAGAAATCATTATTACAAAAGACATTGAATAATGCGGAAAAATTTAAATTTTTAACAATCAATGCCAAGCACTTCCATATATTGAAATAGAGTAGCTAGACATGTATCATTAATTATGTTGGTTTAAACATAAGAATCTCAACATAGGGACCTTATCCCTTCAATTTATCCATATAGGAAGTAAAATAGTAGTCTATTATAAAAATAGAAGAAAGAAAAATAGCGGCTTCATCTTGTCCTCGGAACGTGAGGACATACCAATTGGTCTTGGATGATGCTATGCAAGCCTTTATTTTTTTTTCAATAAGACCTACTAGCCCGAACCTACACTTGGTAGAAAAATAAGAAAAATATGGGTTAGTACATTTCACTTGTACTAAGTATGTAATTCATGCAAATAAAATTATTAAAACGTGCATAAAAGGTCCTTTAGTTCAAAACATGTTATTTCATGTTTTTTTTAAAAAAATCATATTGCACGTTCAATAAATACATAATCAATTAGTACTATTAAATATAAAGAAACATTCATGATTATGATCAACATTATACAAAAGTCACATTCCATAACTTAAATGATTCACTTTATTTAATCATTATACCATAAGACTTCACTCATTACCCCGTTTTAAGTCTACTAGTCCAATGTACATATGAAGTCCCCTATACCAATACATACCAAGAAAAGCCTCAAGAGGTCATAAGCATATTCCTTAATTCATTCATTCTTTAACATTCATGAAACTTTTCCATAACTGATATAGACCATGTGAGGTACATGAAAATTGGTGTCAAATCGCCACACAAAACGGAGGGTTTCCTACTTGTCAAGGTAGGGCATAACATTCATGATAATATCTACGTGGATCCACTAGTTAAGACCTAAGGGGGAACATAGTTATGGAACAAGGAGATTTCTACTAGAAACCCTCTTTATATTTAATTGTAATATAGTTTCCATCTCATGAGACATTATAGTATGAACCTCCCTTCCTTTGTGAATTAAGACTTCTCATTTTCACGTTCACTCAGTGTTAACGTCAATTCCATTTTAGTAAACATTGATTATTAAAATATGCCTTTGAGATTTAATCCCTCATATGTCATTTATCTCATAGGTTCCAAGATGAGAATGTCCTTTCATCATAGAACCAACATCATGTGAGCATACCTCTTTAATTAAATAGTCATTTATGGTGCATGAGAAGTACCTTCAATTCAACATACAAACACATTTATCAGCATCTCACAACATTTATATTTATATATTAGCATAACATTCATACATATAATACATAATTGATCATGATTATATATATATATATATATATATATATATATATATATATATATATATATATATATATATATATATATATATATATATATATAATCTCTAAGAGGTTTAGTCCTTAAACGTCACCTCAAAAACCTACTGCATGACTCAACGCTACGCTAGTTCAAGTCACCATTTTTTTGGATGTCATGGTTGTTCTTAAGTCTTTAGGAACTAAACCTTTCAAAAAAAGTTAGTTACGTCAGATTAGGTCTAAAGAACATCATTTTAATCCTTTTAATTTATTAACCATCATGTAGGAGTCTCGCTTAAGTCATTAGATTTTCAAGGTGTAACAATACCCCCATGGGAAAAGAGTTGTCTCCACTGACACTTTAGACACCCTTATTAGAATTAACGACTCAAGAATAGCATTCCAACCAAAAAATAATCTATAGAAACACAATTTCGAAGAAGGAAACATCCAATCCATTCTAAAAACACATCAATGTATTACAATGTGGTATAAACTACATGATCTTCTACCAAATATACAAATATCTCTTCACTTCACATCATGTATGGAAAAATTACCTTCTCCATATAATATAAGCTTAACATAATCATTAAAGAGTGAATACACCGTTTTTATCAATTCATACTAAAGCATGTTCATTTCATCATCTCATGAAGTCAAATACACAAACAACATATTAAAGTGCAAATAGGCATGAGGATCATATAATTCATGAAAACTCAAGACACATATTAGACATGAATTCTCACAAGAACATGCATACATAAAGGAAATACTCCAGAGTTCAAAACACAAATGACTCTCCATAAACCAAATCAAAGAGAAATTACTAACCTCAACTTTGACTAGAAGAAAAAGGAATAAAATGAGGATATCGGGACTTCATATCGGCCTCGGCCTCCCAAATAGCACTTTCCAGGAAATGATTCCTCCAAAGAATCCTTATGGAAGATACTTCTTTATTTCTTAACTTCTTCACTTGCCAAACAAAAATTTCAACAGGAACCTCTTCATAAGCAAGGTTCTCATCAACGCCTAGACCTTCTAGAGAAAGGATAGATACTGGATCACCTATTCATTTCTTGAGCATTCACACTTGGAACACCGGAACCACCTCAATGGGCAATCTCAACTCATAGGCAAAATTTCAGACTCGTTTCAAAATCTCATATAACGCAACATATTGGGAAATAAGTTTCTCTTTTTTACCAAATCTCATCACCCCTTTCATGGGTGATATCTTCAAATAGACCAAATCACCTACTTTAAATTCAAGGTCCCTCTTTCTACTGTAGGCATAGAATTTTTTCCGACTTTGGATGTCTTCAACATATCTCTAATAAGTAGGACATTCTCAACAACTTCATAAACTATTACGGGACCAATAACATCAAACTCACCTACCTCAAGCCAACCAATAGGATATCTACATGTTTTTCTATAAAGGGCCTCAAACGGGTCCATACCATTACTTGAGTTGTAGCTGTTATTGTAGGAAACCTTCCCAATCAATGGTAGATGATCATCTCAATTACTCTTGAAGTCAATAACACACCCCCTCGACATATCTTCTAGGGGTTGGATGTTTCATTCTGCTAAACTATCGGTTTGGGAATGAAACCAAGTCCGGTTTAGAATGCCTTCCAAAAGTGAGAAGTAAAATAGGTACCCCTATCCAAAATGATAGAAAAGGGAACCCTTGCATTCTCATATTCTCTTTAAGATGCGATTTAGCATAATGTTCTACCGAGTAAGTAGCCTTGCGGGAATAATATGTGCTGATTTGCATATCCTATCCATAAGGACCCAAATAAAATCATGTTACCTTTGAGTACGAGGAAAACCTACAACAAAATTCATATTTACATCCTCCCACTTCCAAGTGGCAATAGCTATATCTTTGGACACGCCTCCCAGTTTTTAATACTCAACCTTGACTTGTTGGCAATTCATGGCCACAAAATCTGTTATATCCCTCTTCAAACTATTCCACCAATAGATCACCTGCAAGTCATTGTACACATTCGTGTCTCCCAGATGAATAAATTATTCAAACCATGGACCTCCTCAAAAATTTGTCTTCTTAGGACATCCACATACGAAACACGCAACCTAATTTGATACCTAAGTACCCCATATTTCTTTGGGAGAACGCTTCGACAAATTTCCCATGTACTAATTTTTTCAACTCCATAAATATGGAATCAAGGTGTTGCTTAGACTTCACATCAACTACTAAAGACGATTCGTAGCTAAGTTGGACCATGAAACCACCCTTTAGAGAATCTAGTAGTTGAACTCCCAACTGGGTTAACCTATGCACATCATGGACTAATTCCTTCTTTTCATCTTTTACATGGGATACCCTACCCATGGACATACGACTCAAAGAATCCATGACTACATTGGTTTTACCGGGATGGTAAAGGGCACTCATATCATAATCTTTCAAAAACTCTAACCACCTTCTTTGACGGAGGTTCAAGTCTTTTTGAGTAAACACATATTATAGACTCTTGTGATCGGTGAACACATCTACATGCACCCTATAAATATAATGTATCTAAAATTTCAAAGCAAATACTACTGCCTCTAATTCAAGATCATATGGGTCGTATAGTTATTTTCACGTACCTTGATTTGCCTTGAGTAATAAGCTATCACCTTACCATGTTTTATGAGGATACAACCCAAACCTACTCGAGAAGTTTCATATACACCACAAACCCTTCGCTATTCTCCGGTAAAGTCATCACCGGAGTAGAGCTAAGCTTATCCTTCAATTTTCGGAAGCCTTTCTCACAAGCTTTCGAACACTCAAACTTAACTTTCTTTTGGGTTAGGGTCATCAATGGAGAAGAAATAGATGAGAAACCACCAACAAATCTCCAATATCACCATACTAAACCCAAAAAGCTTCAAATATTTGTGGTACTTAGGGGTCTAGGCTAATTCTTAACTGCCTCTATTTTCTTTTGATCGACCTCTATACCCACACTCAATAGAACTTGACCAAGAAAAGCAACAAATCTTAGCCAAAACTTGCACTTGCTAAACTTAGCAAAATGTTGGTGATCCTTGAGGACTTGCAACACTATCCTGAAGTGACTAATGTGATCACCCTCACTCTTGGAGTATACCACAATATCATTGATAAATACAATCACAACAAATCAAGACAGTTCCTAAACACCCGATTCATAAGGTCCATAAAATCCACCGGTGCATTAATTATACCAGAAGACATGACTAGGAACTCATATTGACCATATCTTGTTTGGAAAGCCGTTTATGGAATGTTAAATCCTCTCACTCTAAGTTGGTGATAACACGA